AGGGGGGTGTAGGGGCTGATGCTGTGGGGGGGAGAGAGATGACAGATGTGGAAATAAGTGCAGAACAAAAACATGGTGACAACAAATCATACAACTCAGGAGTGAATGTGCAACACTGACCTTTAACCCATGGAACCAAGTAATGTAGATGTATAAACCAAGAAACTTGCTCCAATCTTGTGAAAATAGTCCACTATGTCTCAGATAGTCCATGTTTATACACTTGTAAGGCAAAATTATTGAAGATGGTATACATAACCATGCTATTTACATTCTATATAACTCACTTACTAACTTACTTGACTTAGTAACTCAGTAAGAGCAGTACACACAAACTAAAATATCCATTGATTTACGATATTCAATCTGCAGGTAAATCCACACCAATTTAATTTGTTGTTTCCCAGATTTTTTCAGAAAAAATATGAAGTGACAGGGCAAAAAAAAAAAACAAACAAACAGGCCAAGGCACCCCATGATAGCCGGAAATGTTACAAAATTAGCCATGAAGTCAACATACCAGGCTGGTTTATAATTAAAACAATAGATTTTGAACTTTTAATGAAACAAAGTTGCATTGTTACATTGAAAAACTTTAACAACTAGGAAGAAAAGGACTTCTTCAACCCTTGGGACCAAAATATGCCTTTCATTGAGCATTTTGCAGTTGATTTAAGAACCTAAAAAATACTTTTTTTTTGCAAATTAGAAAATAATGGACAGGCCTAATCCGAGAAACAACAGATTTTTAAATTGGTGTGGCCTAAACAACAATAATCTTACACGTCAGAATATTTAGCAAGGTATCTACATATATGTCTTAAAGCCAACTGAAGACTACATGGATTCCTTCATCATTGCTATCTGTGACAACAGTATAAGATCCAGCATGACGTGAGAATGCAGACTTACTTGATGCCTGTGAGACTTGTTGCATGTGTGGAGGCCTCATGCCCACCCCACCGTTAGCCATGGGCAGCTGAGAGGTGGCATTTATCCTTCTGTAAGAACAAATGGTGCATGTAAAGCCTCTGTCACATAGCCAAATATTGCAGAACTCCCAGGCCTCGAAAATACACATAGAACACTACACTATTCCGTATCGCCCGAGATATGAGCCCGACCGCGCCTCGGATCACCCGACAGCCAAAGGCCGCATGGAGATCTGATCCGCGGGAGGGCCGGGACCGAGGGTGATGCGGAATACACCGTGTTGTATTTTATTTATGTCATACCCACCCAAGAAAACACGCCTTTCAATGCGAAATGAGCGAAAATTTGGTGTCCCTGAACAAAAAATATGCAACATCAATTCCAACGTCCGAATTCTGCATTCAAATTTTTTAAAGCGGTGCACGCGGTTTGGGTGAAACGCGTTTGGATCGTTTTATGGAAGCCCGGACCGTACGCGTAAAGAAGCCTGGGCCGGGAAACCCGTATTGAACGTAATCGCGACTCAGGTACATGTATGACATAAATGATAGTATCATGTGCACAACATCATATCATGTGCACGACACCATCTTCGAATCCATGATTGGTCAAATTTAAATGTTTGTCAGAGTATTATGGGCTGCCAGCGACCCGCAGCAAGATGGATGGATCGCGTTTCTAAATGACATGGATCTGACTAAAATTCACCTCAAATTTGATTCGATTCATATAGAAAGGTAGGCGCAGCTAAATCTGGTCAGACTGCTCACCTACACACTTTTCAGACATATTACCCATTCTTGAACACCTCATTTTGATTGATCTTCTAGCAGTGAGTCAAAGAAAAGTGTTTGTGTATGATGTGTATGTTGTTGGTTAATTAAAAATTGAGAAGAATGGAATGTTAGGAAAGCCCCTCACCTATAGCCAGGCTCCTCTCCTCCAGGCCCTTGGCTTGTCCTGTTGCCAGAACAACAAAACATTTCTCAGAATAGTTCAAGGACACCAAAAGATGACCAAGTGTTAATACATGTAGTCTACAGAATATTTCTTATACTGTACATGTACATGCATACAGTTCTACGACAGCATGAAAATAGGCACCTTACATTATCCATGGGAAAAGCTTTGAGACTTTGTTTCCAGCAAAAAAAGAAGGCCAAGAAAGAACTATGTTCTAACTTTTACCGCACAACTGAAATTTGAAAAGCATGAAAACAACAACACACATCCATTACAATTGTTAAAATTGTATTAGTCAGTTTTGTTTTGTACGAGATATACAGATCTATGTGCAGAGAGTATAGGCAATAGCTGAATGAGGTTGAAAGTCAGTTGCTGCTATCTACAAGAGGCAAGCATGCAAAAATAACCAAGGAGAGACTTGGGGAGCTTCACAACTCTCTTAGCAAGACAAACCAAATGATAACCATCACCACATACAAACACCCTCAACTGAACATGGATTGTTCCACTAATGCTACATTTCTGTCACATTTTGGAATGAACCATTCTGGAATTGGGGTACAGGAGATGTTGTCCCTCCCTGGTGGAACCTACCGATAGCCGTACCTATACCCAGAGTCTTCCTGTGACCCTGCATTCATTCTGTAAACAACAACAAAACAAACAAGTCAACATTAACCTCTGAATAATGAACATTGATGTAAACAAATAGCAATTCAGTATCATTTTTTTCTTTTGTCTGAGAAACAAGCAGTTTTTTGGGAAGTGGCCTAACCAACCTGCATATACCCAGTACATGGACCAGTACAGGTTAGGTGCAGGTAGACATCAGAAATACCTGCGCAGCTCCAATTTTACCTGCACTAACCTGCACATACCCAGTACATGGACCAGTGCAGGTTAGGTGCAGGTAGACATCAGGCCCAATTTTAAGAAAAGTGCTATCGTTCGATCTAAAGATTGGCCCATTCCATCTGCTGTTGGCCATCAAACAAGTGTTCCATTGCGGGTTATCTGGGGTCATGTTGCACGCAAGTCGTGCGCAATGACCCACACTTTCAATTTTATGTGCCTAAGATCATTACGTCATCTACAATTACGACGATGGAATTTGCCGACCAAACTGCTGGGATGAAAGATGGACTGATATATGCTGTATTTGCTCCCAAGCAAATGTCAGCCTTTCTAGTTAGCTGTTCAGTTATCATGTATCCATGTCTGACCTGTATCCTGGGTCCTCTGCAGGGACGTTAGACCGGCGCATGTTGGGGAGGGTCCGGTAACCCGGCGCTGTCATCTCAGGCGGTCTGTGTTCTGCCTGGCCACGCCGTCCACTGGATCTGTGTCACGGTCAAGTACAACACTGTCAACTTCACACTGACTCAGAAACAAGAGTATAACAGAATTTAATAAGACACACTGGACTAATTCGTCTGTGAGGGCATTTGTCTTAAATGGTGGTGAACAAACTTCCAAGGCCACACCAATTTGATTTGTTGTTTCTTGTGTTCTTTCAGAAAAAATATGAAGTGACAGGACGAAAAAATAAATAAAAACAGGCCTAGGCATCTAATGATAGCCCCAAAAGCTACGATAGCATCTAACATCCGTGTCCATAATATCACCAGGGTCCATAATATCGCCACCTTGAGAAAAAGTGTGCTTAAAGATATTTTTACTGCAACACACTTTTGGTTTGTACATTTGATGTGTGAAGGAGTGCATACCAAAAGTATGTTGCAGTAAAAATATCTTTAAGCACACTTTTTCTCAAGGTGGCGATATTATGGACCCTGGTGATATTATGGACACAGATGTTACATGTATGATATAATTCAAACAATGATTTTTTAACTTTATTGATTGAAATAATGAGATTTTCTACACTCAATGAGACGGACATCATGAAACCTACCTGTGCACTGTGGCATAGTTCATCTGCTGTTGCCCAGCGCTCACCATAGGGGGCGGGGCTGGTGGAGGGGGCGGGGCTCCACCGCCATGATTGACAGCTGCCATATCCCCCTGCTGGCCCATGGACTGTACCATTCCCTGCTGTGAGCCAGGCGGGGGTGGAGGGGCCACTGGAGGAGGGGCACTAATGGACCTCGCGTGTGACGATCTCTGGTACTGTGAGGAGACGGAGCCTGGCCGGTTGTTGACGGGGGACGGCGTGTACTCGTTGGGAACTATTGGGGTTCTAACTACCTGTGGCGTTCTGTAGTCGGACGACTTGTTGGTGGTTTGCATGGCGGGAGGGGTGGTGGGGGTGGCTACTCTGAGCGAGGCTCTGTGGGGGGGTTTTGGACTGCGTGATTTTGACACCGTGTCCGACATCGTCCAGAAGGGAATAGTCAATCAGTTTTCTCTCGTATTTGACGGGTCGGTCGAGGCGCGCGGGCGCCATGATCTTGTGTGTTCTCGTGGCTGTTTTGTTGGTTGTCAGCACGCCGATTTCTCTCCTCGCACCTTTTCTTTGTGAATGTCCACAGTCTGGAAACATACACCACAGTTACTGTCAGCTGGAAAAAAGCTTTTAAAATACTGACATACTTGAAATACAGTTGCAAGGCATATCTTGTCATGGAAATGATTACCTGTTACTACAACCTGTTAGGCCTAGGAAAATTAATGTTGTATTTCCGGTTTTCCTCCTGAAAGTAAGTTTCTTCTATTGCTGTTTGTTTGCGACTTTCTTCTCATAATGCATTTCAGACTGTTTAGAGGGTTTGAAATTCAGATGTCAAATTCAAAATTTTATAGCCGATAGTAGTATATCAAAAAAAGGCTAGGGTTTTTGATAGGGTTGGTCAGGAAAACTGGAACACAACATGTTTCCTAGGCCTTAGGCCACACTGACTTAATTTTATGGATGACATCCTCTGAAGACCCCCAAACTAGTGTGCGCAGGCGAATAAAAAAAATCCAGCCAATAATAAAAATGCGACTAAACCACAAAGGAATTCAAAGCTGGTATTGTGAATTTGCTGCAGTACTTAGCGACGTATACGACAAGACAGCACATGCTGGCTTTTTGTGGAATTTATGAATTGGCACTATAGTTATACTAGTATACTGAATCGTGGAGCTTCGGTAGCCTGGGTGCCCGTATTGTCGCTAGCTACCATGGACTACCCAAGCCTAGAGCCAGGCCAGAGCCCCGGTGGACGTGATCTTTTTTTTTTTTGAGAACAGGCAAAAATCAATGCATGCGGATGTCATCCATAAAATTACATTGGTGTGGCCTTACTGATATCACAAAAAAACTGTTGAAGTAAACTGTGGCTGTTTTGTTACCATAGAAATGTGGTTGATGGCTGACTCCATCTTCTGTAGCTGGTTAGCCTGGATGTCCATCATCTGCAGCATGTTGGTGGCGAGGGAGTTGATCTGGTACGCCACACTGGCTAGCGACTGTGTCGTATAGCTCTTTGTCTCTTCCAGTGCCGTTCTCTTGTCCTGGCTCTGTACAACAGAATCAAGCAACAGATAAATAAGACTTGAAATTCATTTTGGGAATAGGAGCACTGTTGCACCCAACCTAAAAATTAAGGTGCACAAAAATGTTTTGGGGTGCACCGTATAAAACAAAACCTAATTACAGATCTTACTGCTCCTCTTCTGACCTTAAATTTGAAATGGGAGCTAACTTCAAAATCTTAAACAAGTACTACAACAAAGGTTTTATTATTTTTCTGATGCTTAGATGTCAAGAATATCTTGTATACTATTATACATTTGGTATGTACAAATATACCTACAAAAATATTTAGGTGCACCAGTGAACCCAGAGAAAAAATTGGTGCACAGGTCCAATTTTGGGTGCACTAAGGTGCAAATGCACCCAGTATTTTGAGCCCTGCTTACAGAATATAGAAGTAACAAAAGAAAGGAATTTATTGAGGGATTTGATTTATTAATTAAAGGACGGCTGTCAGTAAAGCATATTATGTTCTTCATATATGTCTGTTTTGTATACATTGTTTTATCAGACCTCCTGACACACATGTGATGTTTTGGACGCACATAACTACTCATCCCTCTAATGGCTTCCCAATTATACCAGTAGCGGTCACTTACTGAGTTACTCACCCACTTTATTTCCTGTGCTGAGTGCCTGAGCTATACATAATTAATAAGCTCATTATCTAATTATAGCAGGTCATTGTGGGGCTCATGATTCCCGGTTGAGAGCAGTTTATAATAAGATTATTCTTGCTCTAAGGCCACACCAATTTAATTTCTTGGTTAACGGATTTTTCAAGAAAAAAAATGGAGCGGGCGGGCGAAAAAAAAATTAAAATAAAAATTTGAGACTACCTGCCATACAGCCATGTAGTAAGCAATCCATTAAGTTAAGTTACAAAATGATATAAGACATTATATTGGACACTTATTGAACTGAAAGGACCATTACTACATGAGCAACTTCTTTTACATCCCTTTACAATTATTCGTATTATTTTGCAAGATACACATCTTTACTGTATGAACAACAAACTGTCAGTTGACAAGACTCTGATCCAACTGAATTCACTTTTATTCATCTTTCAAAGTTCCAAAGAGTGGTTGAAATCAGGGAGCTCTGTTCAGATCCCATTGTTTTCTTAGAGTTGAGGGAACACAGCTTACCACTGGGCTGGGCATTCTATTGTGTCTGGCTGATATGGAAGTTATTTAGAGCTTGAAATTTACAATATCCTAAATATATGTTTTAGACAAATTTTCCAGGAATGTTTAAAAGTTATTGTCAAAAGAATTAACTACTTAAACAGATATTTTATTCTTTTTTTTATCTTTCCCCAATTCCCAAATACTACCGGTAGTATCCATTTTATATTTCCCATTATACACTTTAGGTATGCTACAGCTACATTATACATAGCCAAAATGCAAGCAAATAGCCACATTGACACACTCTTCAAGTTGCCACAAATTCAATGGTCTAGGGTTTCACTATAAAGTCCTTGATGTATGGGGATTTTTTATTTGTAGGGGGAACCATTTTATTCAAAAATTTAAATATAAACATTAATGCATTATTTGCAATTGTACTCCTGTTTATAGGTATCTAAATAAGATGTAACATTGTTAGAATGCCACAAGCACATGTAGTATTTTTCACAGAGTAACTTCTATAATTAAAAGGACCTGTTTCCCCCTACTCGAAGTGGACTCTTCCGACCGTGAGAAAAAGTTGCTTTAGTGAATGGACATACGTGCATGTGTCATGGAGGACTTTTTACTTTGCCAAATTCCCATGTTTGTGGTAGGATTTTGTACTTTTTGAGAGTAATACAGTTTGTGATGCCAGAATACATTGTTATGTCGTGTTATTTTTACATATTCCCTGGAAAATAGATCGTTTTGAAGGTGTGTGTGCATGTGCCGCCCAGGCCGAGTTTATACGTTGGGCCGATCACTTTTAACGCCCTTTACTAGCACGTTTCCGACACAATACGTGTTTTAAAATATAATATATATCTAAAAGGGAGATGATATGTTGTTACAGGCACGATGACTCAGTAAATCTGCCGTACGTTTGTCGTCAGTGAAGTTTTGTCCCATGAATGGTGACATGACATGTGCAAAGGGGGTGGGGGGCGAGTTCTATATCAAAAGAATTTGACGAACTTTTGAAGAGGCAACCTAGCTTTCCAAACAATTGCACTCAGAAAAATGTTTCTGCCTTAAAGCAATGTATTTTTAATGCTGTTAACTATGCCCAAATTTTGAAAAATTACAACGTACCGGCCACGGTGGATTTTGGGGCCCCCAATTCGGGACCCGAGAGTATGGATTTTTGTTCTGTTTTTATTTTTATTTCATTTTGGCAAAAAAACGAAGCGGCGAATCCGTTAACCAAGGAAATAAAATGGTGTGGCCTAATATAATATAATAACATCACATTGATTCTTTGCAAATTTAAGCTTTAAATGACGTAAAGCATTCCTACATTGTCAAAGGGTTAGTCTAGACATTTCCTATATATGATCTACAGGAATTGTGCTAGTGCTGTATGATATATATATTCATCATATATATTAAGACATCACAAAATACAAATAATACAACTCTAAGACTGAAGTTGACTTTGAAGATGCAATAAATACTTATTTTCCAAACAATAATGTGTTTGATTTAGATGGTACACAATTATTACTGAACTATGTTCACAGTCACATACAATAAGATAATACTTCTTGTATCGTACAGGCATGTGCAGTATTATATGCTGTAATACCATATCTGGCATTGAACAATCTGTAGCAATTTGTAACTCATGTACATTGTATGTATAAATCTACATCATACATATCATGTACATGTTTTGCTATTCTTGCTGATTTAATACTGGAGAGATTCCAACAGCAAAATATTTGTGACTATGCAACATCTACTGACAAGTCTTAGTGTGAGACAATTCCATATTTCAGTTCTACACAGTGCAGTTCTACACTTGTACATCTGCCAATGGTTAAGAAGCTGATCCAGTGAAAACCACAGGCACAAAGCCAGACCCTAGGTTTGTATTGATCTGTATTGATCACATGTAGGTTGATGGCAGGCTCTCTACACAGCCGGGGATCAGGTAGGGACATTCCCACTGGGGCAGATATGGTGAGGGAATGTATAATGATGGTGTGTACATGTATGGCTACGTGCCAGTACACTGTATCTGTACCTGTACCTGTAAAACTGTACAAGTACAGGGCTAGATCATGTATACCTTTACCATTAACTCAGGCAATTCAAGGCCCACTGCAGAAACCACCTTTTGTCCTGATTTTCATTTTTGCCCCAATTTCACACTAATATCCTAAGTAAGTCTAAGCCGTCCAGTGGCGTCCACCCATTCCAACTTGTGTCCACACATTCATGCACGATTTGCTGCTAGGTAGGAATAGTTTTTGCATATTCATCTGCTCATACTAAATTGTATTGTCTTCTGCCACCAATTAAGGATATTAACATTATTTCTTGTTTTGCACTTATCTACCTAATGCATTGTAGTAGCCACTTGGAATTTATCCAAAGCGTAATCGAGAAGTTTCCTGAATTCAGCCTAATACATACGTAGCCAGCTCTCAAAATTTAGCGTAGAGCGTTGTCGGGGACCCCCCCCCCCCCATGCAGGCCCCCTACAAGAAACTGACTCTACAGTAGTCTCCATCAGGGACCCTGATGAAGTGATAACCCTTCTCATGACCTCTGACCCGCATACTGACAGGTCAAAGGCAGCAGTAATCAGTCTCTGATGACCCCTGACCTGAGGTCATACTTCACTGTCAGTCCAAGTACAACAGTATTATTGTACAGGGAACTTTCCACAGCAGATAACATGAACATGGCTTGCAAATGCATATACAGGTGATTAGTGTTGTGTACTGGTTCACTGGACCGGTTCCGGACTTATAAAAATGTTTAGGTTCAAGTCCAAAAAAGCCTAAAAGTTAAGAGCCAATTCCGGATTTGTTTGAAAAAAAAAACATGTCACATATCCCTTTTCTTTCCAAACCACCTAAAACCTTCCATAGATTGCTAAATCTGTGCTACAAAATGAATCAAACATTACCATCGGGCATCGTCAAGTGTCACCCTCAGTGTTATGTGGCCACAGTTTTGCCCATACAACATTGCAAGGTTGCCGACATGCACTTTGGTATATGCCATGGGTTTAGGTCTGGACTTACGAGTCCGGAACTGAACCTAAACCTCTGGACTTGAATCTGGACCTGAACCTAAATGTGGGTTTAGGTGCACAGCACTACAGGTGTTTTTACCTGAAAAGGTATACAGGAAATGCCTGTATGTTGTTGAGCAAAGAATTGAAAAATAAAAAAAAAAAGGTGCAAGAAAAAAGTCATAATGGCACGCATTCATCTTCATTGAAATGTACGTTTTAGCTAATAGAATTAAAACGTACTCAATTATGCAAAAACAATTATCACCAAGGCAGCACTAACACTGGAATGCTTTTTGAGAAACTCTACCAAAATGTGAACAGGGCATACCTTATCATGAGGATTTTTTTATTTAGGTTATAACTTATAAATAGATCACTTTTAATCAAAATTTGCCTAGTGCCCCTAGCAGTCTAGCGTACAATTTTTATTACAAATGGTAAGTATACCTTCAGAACTGGGGATGATGACAATAAAAATATCAATCAGAAAATCATTGTTGCAAAAATCATCAAAATATATAGGACAACTCCATATCTGGGTGCACAAGGCCTTGCCTGTGATAATTTATTCCCCTGTCCTGATACACCATATTTAGCAGGGCTCAAAATTTATTTTTTGGGAAAAGCTGACCCAACCTAAAAAATTAGGTACACAGAAATGTTTTTGGGTGCACCATATAAAAAAAAAAATTACAGATCTTACGGCTCCTCTTCTGAGCTTGAATCTGAAATGGGAGCTAACTGCAAAATCTTCATGTACTACAAGAAATATTTTATT